GGGGGGGGGGGGGGGGGGGGGGGGGGGGGGGGGGGGGGGGGGGGGGGGGGGGGGGGGGGGGGGGGGGGGGGGGGGGGGGGGGGGGGGGGGGGGGGGGGGGGGGGGGGGGGGGGGGGGGGGGGGGGGAGTAAAAAACAGGTTCAATATGTAACACTACTATGCAAGTTTGATAACAATATTTAAAAGTTTGATTAGTTGTACAACTGCCTTTCTTTGTTAAATATCTGTAGTTGTTTGCAACAGGTACGTTCCAGCATACTCAACACGATTGACGTTCGATTCTGGATCTTGGAATGTGCTTCCTCCGAATGCATCGGACCCAATGGGCGCCGTCGATCCTGTTTGGACAGAGAGCAACTGGAACACCATAGGACTCCGAATGTATACCGTCCAAGCTACTGCGTATGATCGTTTTGTCTTACTTGGAGGCATTACTACTACAATCTTGTCATACTTTGCAATAGTAGCCGTGCGAGGCTCCATTATGAAGGCCTTGAAGAAAGATTAACACAACATTTTAGGCAACTAAATGGAATTAGTAAATGAAAAGGCTGAGAAAGATGGGACACTGTATCAATATAGTTCAATCGTTTTTTCTCCGGAAGATTTTGGATGTAGTTGCAGAGGTGGTGTATTGTTTAATTTTGCAACCCTCTGCCTCCCGTTGGTGCAGGGCGGGATCTGATGCCATTGAAGCTTTGCATGTTAGTACGCAAATGATATGATTCTGTATAGCTTCTGTTTCCCGCTTGTAGTTAACCTTACATCAGGTGCAGCATCCACACATGGTTGCTTGCCTGATCGTTACCGAAAATCAAACGTCGAGTTGAAGACATTTCTGTATACTTGATTGAACAGTTTATTGGAATTGAAAATAGACAGATAATTGAACCATTCTTGTAATGACACAGGTTCACTGCTAGCAGATATTATCTTTTTTGGGCTTTCCATTTCGGACTTTCCCTCTTTAAAACACGGCTGCTTAAATTTCAGCTGTTTAGCCTTCTTCCCCTTCATAGTCTGGATATAGAATTGACAGCCTGTCCCTTTTCATTTTGAAAATGTAAGTTTTCAATATTTTCAATAATGATATCTTTTTCAATAATGATATCTAGTGATGCATACTCTTTTGGAAGTTATAGTTCTTGTTTTCTGAGCTATATGAGATTCTTTTAACGATGTTAAATAGGTTTTTGAAAATTTTAATTTTGAGTCTAGTAATTTTTTAAAATTGATCTCTTGGACAAAATTTAATTTATGTGTTGTGTTGAATGTGTTAAATTGATTGTTAATTTTTAAGTAGGGTAGGGATTTATTAACCACAAAATTGAGAATTATGAGAATTATGATGTAATAGATATTTGTAAAAAAGTTTAAGATTTTGAAATTTATTAGATATTTTTTAATTAAAAAATCCTATAAAACACAAAATTAAGAAAAGACAAATCAAGAATTAAATTGTTATTTAACTATTTAGAACACAATTTACTATTAACAACAACAACTAAAAAAAAAAAAAAAAAAAAAAAAA